AAAAAAAAAAATCGGTATTCTTCTACAGATTTTTTTTTACTGATTTTTTTTGACAAATGGTTTTTTTTTTTTTTTTTTTTTTTGCTTTTCTCATTTCAAATAATGTCTGTTACATAATATAAATGTTATAAAAAAATATATATGTCTGTCCACTATCTTGATATTAACAAAAAATTTTTTTTCACTATCTATCAAAGAACAACACACGAAAAAAGAAATTGCCAATAAACACCAGCCATTCCATAGTTTTAAATGTTAAATGTCGATGTAATAATGATGATATTGAAGAAGAAGTGGGAAGAAACAAAAAACACAAGAAAAAAAAGAACCCCCAATACAATACAATAGGAGAAAAAATAAGTACTTACAACATGGTAATTCAGATGCATGTTCCATAAGTACAGGTCTATCTTGTACTTGTCCAGTTATTTCATCAATACAATAAGAATAATTTCCATATGATTGATAACGTTCAAAATTTCCATTCGATTGACAACGAATAAAAAATATTGGATCAATATCATAATGTTGATTATATTTTTCTGTTTCTGGTAATAAATCCCAACGTTTATTTTCATTTAATGAATGTATCATTTCACGTAATTTTTCATTTACATTTTCAAATTGATATGAACAAACTGTTTGCCAAAAAAAAAACAAAAAACAAAAATTTCATTTAGTTTCATAGATTAGATTTATCATTTTATGATGAATGTGTATGTGTCTGTTGTGTTGAAATAGTTGAAATAAGTTTCGATTACCAAACAATAAACAACAACAACAACAACAACAACAAAACGGTTGAGAGAAAAACAGAATATATAAAAGAATCAATATATATTACATACGACAATTCATTTTATCTGCATTTGTATAAATATCTGTACCAAATATTGGTCTTGTTTTGATTTTTCCAGTTTTATCATCTTTATATTGTTTGACACATTGACATCTAAGTAAGTGTAAAATGAAAAACAAAACAAAACACAGAAATGGATATAATAATAAGCAAAATTGAAATATATTTTTTTTCCTCTTTATACACTTACAATGTTCCATTTTTACATTGACGAATTTTATAATCACCAAATTGATCACATTCTGGTCGTAAACTATATGTTTGCATTTGAAAACGATTCTGATCAAAACGTTTATTTTCATATTCACAACCATGTTCACCATTTGGATTTTCATTTTCAATATCGCTTACTAATAATAATAATAATTTTGTTTGAACAGGAAAAAGAAAAAAATTTCATTTTGATTTTTTTTTTTTGAATTGATTTAAAAATTTTTTTTTGCTTACTTTTCCGACAGATGGCATTAACATCGTATGTATTTTTTGTTTTTCTAACACATTTTAAATGTGGTCCACATTGTGTATCCGGTATAATACCTTTCATTTCTAAAACACAATCAACATTTTCTTCTAAAATTTTTATAAATTTATAAATTAAAATTGATTACAAATTACAAATTTACAAATTTACAAATTATCAAACAAACATACCAAGTTCTTCAACACATTCATTACAACAACCACAAGTTGTAACATTATGAAATAAAATTTTATTATCACCTTTACAAGATTTATCTGAACATTTTTGTATACGACAAAAATCTGGTGTACATTTTTGAAATTCACAATCAATTATTTGACAAATGAATATTATGATAATAATGATTATATAGAATAAAATGATTGAAGATAGATGATTATTCTTATTCTTCTTTGATGATGAAAATGATGATGGCCATATGAACGACATTGTTGATTTATTTATTGTTTTTTTGAGGCAAAACCAAACAAAACAAAACGATATCTGTTGATGAATGATGATGATGATGATTTATTTATTTATTTATTTATATGAATGTGAAACGAAACAAACAAACAATAAAAACGATAAAAACACTGACCAAAAAATGATGAATGAATGAGATTGAATATGGAGAGATTAGAAAGTTTTAGTTAATTATTCGCAATTGTACCCACAATCATACACCTACAATAAGAATCGAAGAATCGAAGAAACATGAAAACAACAAGGAATTTCTTTCCCAAAATACACATAGATTACTATCAAATAATCAAATTTTGGTTCATTTTGGTTGAGAAATAAGATCAAAAAAAGGAAACAAATAGGAAAATGTTTGTGTGTGTTTTTTTGGGTTGATATGATTGATTGATCAATCAATCAATCTTTTTTTTTAATCAATTAATCAATGATGATGATGATAGATTTTTATTACAATTTTCTTGAAATAACAACGCACACACACACACAAACACGGTATAATTGCTATTGGATATCATGATGATGATGATGCCAAAGAGTATACTAATCAGATAATCAATTTTTTCTGCTTTTACTTTCATATATGACATTTTTCTCCTATTTTACTTACTTACTTACTTATTATCATTATTAATCCTCTTCACACATTTATATCATACAAATTAGAAACAAAAAAAAATCCTGGTTGACAACCGCGATATGATGATGATTTTCTTTAGAAAAAAGAAACGACAACAACTTTTTCTATATCGATCAATTGCAATCGATATTTCCAAAATGATATTAATCAATACCAATATTTACAAAGAGAGAGATGACAAGAGAAATGAAAAATCCGTTTCATTTTATATATACTTTTTTTTACAAGATTAAATCCAAATGGAATTTTTCTATTTTACAAAAAAAAAATAATTTTAATTTTCAATTTTTCAACTGAGAACCAAAAAGAAGAAGAAGAAAAGCAGAATTTTTTCCAAACTTGACAATAAAAAAAGTACAGTTAGAAAATGACATTTGTCAGTTTCTGTTTAAAAAAAATTGCTGTTTCTGTTGTTTTATTATCATCATTATTTTGGATTTTTTTTCTTGGAACAATTATTATTATAAGATTTTTTTTACTCCATTCATATTTTTCTTTTGGTTTTTACCAATGTCTCTGTGTGTGTGTGGGTGTAAATGACTGAATCAATTGACTGACTTTTGACAAATGTCCAATTTCCACTGTCATTATTTTCATTTTTGTTGTTGTTGTTGTTGTTGTTGGCTATACCATCAATTGTCATTGTCTTTCTTCTTCTTCTTCTGCTTCTAAGATAAAAAATATGGTGAAAACATTGGATAAACTTTTTTGGTTGTTGTAACCAGAATCAAAAGTTGAAAATCAGTTTTTTTTCTTTTCTTTTTTGGAGAAGATCGGATAATTACTTGATTTTTATTCTTTATTTGAATTTCTTTGTCTTTTATCAATTCTGGATTTTCAATAAAGAATTTCAAAGAATTTTCTATAGTGATGCTAACTGAACAATCAAAGAAAAGAAAATCCAAAAAATCACAAATTGAAAAGTTCATTTTTTTTTTTAAAAAAAAGTTAATAGTCGTTTGACTATTATGATAATCATCATTATCAAAAATGATTCATTCTTAATTTCTATTTTGAATGTTTATTTGAAACAGAAAAAAAAACTTTGAATTACTTATGATGATCATTTTAGTGTCTTTAGAAAGAATTTCTAACCAAAGAAATTGAATTTTTAAATGAAGAAAAAATGAGTTTTTTTTCTCTGTACAATTCAATGATGATGGGGTGAATTTGAACGAAGAAAGAAAAAAATTGTCAAATCAGTTGGTGGCCATCAATGTTAATCATTTTTTTTTCTGTCCATTTTTTTTTATTTCTTGTTACCCTGGTGATGCGTTTTATCAATTGCTATTTTGTTCCTTTAAATCATTCATTCATTCTTATTATTATTATTAAAATATCAAGAATTTCCTAAATTTGACTATCGAAACCAAAACAAACAAATGTTTTTTTCGTTGTTGTTGTTGTTGTTGTGTGGATATTATTGAAGCAAATCACGCGAATAACCAAAAAAACAAGGAAAAAGAAGTGAAATTTTCGCTTGCTTGTCCTCACCACGACATCAATAAAAATCAATCAACAAATTCATTTTTTTTTTGTTTTTGACTACTACTTTGTTTCAGGATTAATATTTTCAAGAAAAAATAACATATTTTCATTATTTAAGAATTTTGTTTCAATTGTAATCTTATTATGACTTTTTTATGTAATAATTTTTTTTGATAAAATATGGTTGTCGTCGTCGTCGTATATGAATAGAGGAAAAAACCACACCATCACCAGTGTTGATTCGCCTACAGAATAGAGATAGAGAGAGAGAACAATTTTTCTTAAACATCTTATTCTATTTTTTCAATTACATAATCACTTATCGACCCTATGGCTATGTCTAGTTTTGAATCATAAATGATGATGATGATGATCATCATCATTATCATCTTCTTCTTCATTGATGGATCGATATCTAAAGTTTTTAGTCAAGTTTTCTGCTCTCATTACATTTCTATTTATCTATCTATCTATGTTTAACTGATGATACAGTGGGAGAGAGAGAGAGAGAGAGAAAGAGTGAACCAAAATTATATACAATTATTGTTGTTGTTGTTGTTCAGAATCAGATGCTTTAGTTTTCTTTTTTTTACTTTTCAACTGGAACATGAACAACAGCAAAAGGAAAACGAAAAAGAATCACTTTTTTTGTTGAACAATGATACATGGATCGATATATGATTTTGATCTGTATCTCTTTTTTTTATTATTAATATTATTGTTTTTTGTTCCATCATCCATCTAATTTATATCTGGTTATATTTGTTTTTTTTTTCTTCTTCACCCCACTACTGTTGTTGTTGTTGTTCATTTCAACTCTTTTGACACGACAAAAAAAACTAAATGAAATGAAATGATGATGATGATGAAAAAAAAGTTTACTCTTCTTCTTCTTCTTCTTCTCCATACTGCTTGGGTTTTTTTTTCTCTCTGGTTCATTCGATGCAATGATCTTCATTTTTTTTTATTTGTTTGGTTTGGTTTGGTTCTGTTTGGTTCAAATGAATTTCACTTGGGAAAAATATTGTATATATTGAAGAGAGAGAAAGAAAAAATTGTATATCATAGGAAGTTGTGCAGCAAAAAAAAAAAAAAAAGTTTTCTTCCTTTTCTTCAACTAACCATTATAATATACCAGCAATGACAATGATGATGATGATGACAATTCAAATCGTTTCGTATTGTATTTTAGTCAAGTTTCTTCTTTCAAATATCATTGATTTTATTTTTGTTGTTGTTGTTGAAAGAATATATATTGAGGAAAGTTTCCTTAATTGACAATATTCACAATGAATTTTTGAAATTTAATTTTCTTTTCTTTTTTTCATTATTATCATTATCATCATCATGACAATACTTTCAGATTTCATTTCTTCCTTTAGGCTAGTTATATGTTGATTAGAATTCTAATTGATGTCATTTTCAAGTGGTTTGTCTTGAGTTTGATTGAGAAAATTGTATTGAAAAAGCAAATAAGTTTCGTTTTGAATTTTTTTTTGAAAAAAAATTCTTCTTTTTGTCTAATTTTTCATTTGTTTTTCAGGTAAAAAAAGAATGATCATCATAATTTTTCAATCATTCAGTTCTTTTTTTTTTGGTTCAAGAAAAATCTCATCAAGTATTCAGGCCTTTTAATGTTCATTCACAAACAAACAAACATTACCTGCCAAAATAATAATTATTCATCATCGTATATCATCCTATTGAAACAAAAACAAAACGGAACAAATCAAACAAAAAAAAAATAACCTCCAAAACGAAAAGAACACACAAAAACTACTAACTTATAATGTCGAAATAGTTGAAAAAAAGCAAGCAAACCAAAAAAAAAAATGTCCAACAAAAAAGAATTAAATAATGAAGAATTTATGCATATTAACACAATATGAAAATAATAATAAAATAATAATAATAATAATTTTTGTTTCAGTAGTTGCGGTTACTACTATTGCGGTTACTACTGTCGTAGTTCGTATTGTGTTGTTTATATATGTTACATAATGATGATAATGATTAAAAGCAAAGAAAAAGAAGAAGAAGAAGAAAATAAGGCAANTAACTGATGATACAGTGGGAGAGAGAGAGAGAGAGAGAGAAAGAGTGAACCAAAATTATATACAATTATTGTTGTTGTTGTTGTTCAGAATCAGATGCTTTAGTTTTCTTTTTTTTACTTTTCAACTGGAACATGAACAACAGCAAAAAGAATCACTTTTGAACAATGATACAATGGATCGATATATGATTTTGATCTGTATCTTTTTATTATTATTATTATTAATATTATTGTTTTTTCCATCATCCATCCATCTATCTAATTTATATCTGGTTATATTTGTTTTTTTTCTTCTCCCCACCACTGTTGTTGTTGTTCATTTCAACTCTTTTGACACGACAAAAAAACTAAATGAAATGATGATGAGGATGATGATGATGATGATGAAAAAAAAGTTTACTCTTCTTCTTTTTTTTCCATACTGCTTGGGTTTTTTTCTTTTCTCACTGGTTCATTCGATGCAATGATCTTCATTTTTTTTATTTGTTTGTTTGTTTGGTTTGGTTTGGTTTGGTTTGGTTTGGTTTGGTTCAAATGAATTTCACTTGGGAAAAGTATTGTATATATTGAAGAGAGAAAGAGAAAATTGTATATCATAGGAAGTTGTGCAGCAAAAAGTTTTCTTCCTTTTCTTCAACTAACCATTATAATATACCAGCAATGACAATGATGATGACAATTCAAATCGTTTCGTATTGTATTTTAGTCAAGTTTCTTCTTCTTCCTTCAAATATCATTGATTTTTTTTCGTTTTGTTGTTGAAAGAATATATTGAAGAAAGTTTCCTTAATTTGACAATATTCACTATGAATTTTTGAAATTTAATTTTCTTTTCTGTTTTATTATCATCATCATCATCATGACAATACT